ACGGCTCATTTCAAAAATAAACGTGGATTTGCGTAAAAAACTATTTTTTCGGGGTTCGGGTGTTTTGTTTGATTTTAAACAAACAAAGTCTTGGCTTTCAGAATATGAAACTTTATTTCCAAACTCACACGATAAATACATTCTTTAAGCTTGTAAAGGGAAGATGACTGGCAATCTGCTCTTCCGCAGTGCCGCCCCCCCTCCCTCCGGCTGAAATTATGAATGTAAGCGTATAGTAATCATAGATAACACGGCAGGGTCCGTTACAGTTTGCTTTCATCTGATTTCAATTAAACAAAGTCTTGGCTTTCAGAATATTAAACTTGTTTCGGCAAATTCAGATCATAAATACAGGTTTGAAGCTTGTAACGGCATAATTATAAGCGGAGAACGAGTTACGCCTGCTGTGACGTGAAGTTACTCACTTGACGACTCACTTGACGACATACACACACCCGCTAATAATCAATCAGATCGATGGATTCCAGAGAAGAGGAAACTTTGAAGGCCTTTTTCTCAAAATGATGACTCGGTGACAGTCATTATATAATGTGACATATTTCGCTTAATATTTGGTACAAAAACAATCCTGATATCATTAGAAAGCTAGGAATATCCTCTTTCCAGCAGTGTATACAACTCAAAATGTGTCTTCGGGTCAATGAGACTGATTTCGATAGAGCAGGTCACATTTCCTGGTAGGGTATTCCAAAGTCTCGTAGTGCAGTGAATAAAAGCTGTTTCACCCATTTTGTTTTTAGGGGAATATTTTAAAAGCCTACTGAAAAAACATTTGACAATAAGGTTTAAACAAAATCCTCAGCAGAAGCAATGTCCTTATTGCTCTGGATAATCCATAAATCTCACTGTCAGCAGTTTTCATTAGGGACTATTTATTTAGTAGAAAGCAGTTCCGGTGAAAGTGCTGACGGAGAGTAACAGTGCATCTAAACATCACAAACTATAAAAACCTGGACAAATCAAAGTCTAGCCCCAGCCTCACCGTGCGCGTTGCTGCCGTCTCCTAGCTGTGCGCACGTGTGGTCGTTCTCTTGCAGCGCCTTCTTGAAGTAGAAAATGCCTAGGTTGTGTTTCCCCATTGCGAAGTGTATGCAGCCCAGATTGTTCCAGAACATACATCGAACACATTCCCCTGTATGAGACAAGATGCACAACCATTAACAAACACATACAAAATAAATCAAACTACTAAGGCAAGCTGCATCAAAAGTAAAGACAATGTTTTAGCCAATAAAGATACATTAGCAATCTGAACCGTAAGTAGCTGTGTGGCTTTTCAGATAAAGAGGTAGAGGAGTGTTTACCCGTCTTGATGGGTCCAGGATGCTCTGCGATGTTGGAACTGTTCAACAGCTTCACTGCTTTCCGGTAGTTTCCTCTCAGGTACTCAAAGTTACTCTTGAGGAAAAGTGAGGGTGCAGACTGAGGGAGGAACAGGAAAAAGGTAAGAGAGAAACACACAGACCGACATACACTGGGAGAGCCATCAGCATGATGTCTGTCACTGTGGCGGAGAAGCTGGAATGAATGGTGCTGTATTGTGAACAAAAAGCTATAAAATCATCTTCTTATGTTCTTTTTAAATCTGTGCTATGTCAATACCATGAAAGTCTTAAAAAAATTATATCCACCTTTCAAAAACAATGACATCCTGGCTTGGGGGTGTAACTTATTACATGTAAAGGGAATAGGTCATTAGGATTTAAAGTGTGTGGCAGAGAAACTTTGGGATTTTAGCCTTTGCTGACCATTTACAAAACCCTATGTAAAACACTGCAGGAAAGAGTTAACCCCAAAAGCATAATAGGGGCTCTTTAAAGTAACCCTGCCAGCCCTAATGACATCACATCCCCCCCCCACACTGTTTGAACAACATCATGGTGTAGACTCACGTTCCCTGCTGTGTTCATCACTGACTTGATCTCTCTCTTACAGGCCTTGGAGGATTTCATCTGAATGTAGGCTCTCACTTTGTACTGTAAAGGAAACAACAGTCGGTCACAGAGGCTGGAACAGGGAGGGGGGGGGATCTCTGAGCTCTTACCTGGTGCATCTTTGACTTGGCCGCCTCCATCATGGCCGTGAACTCTGCCTTCTGGTTGGCTCCATCTTTGTTTGAACTCTGGAATCAAGCAAAGCATTCAAACATTTAAGTATATCTTTATTTAGTTAGTGGCTTCAGGCGCATCTGCATAACTAGATACAAGTGTTTACAGCTGTAGCCATACCTCTCCTTTGCCGTTCTTGCTGCTTCCTGTTGTGGACAGTTTGTCCAGCACAGCCAGCAGGTGGAGGGCCTTCTCTGGCTGGAAGGTGAGCAGGTACAGGTCCACCAGCAGGAAGCACACCGCCTGAGCAAACTTCTCTGCAAGGACAAATCAATAAAAGGACTGTGTGTCAAAACCTGGTTCCTTAGAAAATATATGTAAAATACTTTCAGATGAACTACTGATGGGATGCCCCCTCTGTATATAAACCCTGTTAGTGGGACAGGTTTCAGACTCAAAGACTTGAAAACTGTGTTGAAAGGGTTAACCCTTCATATACCTGTGTCTAGTCTATCAAATGGTAGACTTGTTAATTTGATCATAATGTTTTTTATTCAAAGGGTTTGTCCCAAAGCTTGTTGCTGTATTCACACCTTACACATTAAAGAGTGCTTTATTCAGCTGTGAGTGTGACTCAAGACAAAGTTCACTCCATCATGGTGTGGTAGTGTAGTGGGTGGTTTGGAATTGGGCCTAGGTTAAAGGAAACGGTGGCTTACACATCCATGTCACGATATGATCAGCATTTCAGCATTTTCTAATATTAAAGACACAATAAGTCATGACTATGCAGCTTTTTGTCTACACTCATAAAAGTATCCAGTTTAAATGTCATGTCCTTAAATCCTTTTGTCAAAAGTCATGAAAAATGCTTGTCACATGCTATCAAGGAACAATGTCCTCAAAAAGCTACAAACACCTAAAAGTTATTCACTTGCATGATAATATATGCAGTGTTTCCCCTACCATTGTCTTGGAGGGGCGCTGCGCCCCCCCTAAAATTCAAGGTGTTTAAAAAAAGATTTTTTTTTGATATAATTGTATTTAT